ATCTAAAACAAATTAGGCTACAGCGCATGAGTAGAAACTTCCCGAATATTTGAACAGCAGTGCTGAATGACATGGTCCCACATTAGAGTGATTTCCATCCGTGCACGTCACATAAGCATGAAACAATTCTTAACTAATTAGCGCCTAATAAGATTTAGTTATCAACTAACTAAGAACTCACTGGGGCATGAACACAATGCCAGAAAGGAAACTTGTCTTTGTTTATGCCTCACTAAATTCTTACTAGTTAGTTGATAACTAAATCTTATTAGGCGCTAATTAGTTAAGAATTGTTTCATGCTTATGTGATGTGCACTCTAGTAGGCTACCAAAAGGCAAAATCACAACCTCGTTTGCCTAATTAGTTTGTCGCATGTCATAAATTAAATTATTGGGAGCTAATAGGGGGGGGGGGGGGGGTAATAGTTAACAATTTGATCTCGAGGGCGAGTGGACTACGAGCTGATACCCCATGACGAGGCCGAGAGATCTAATTGTTTTAGTATTACCATGTACAAGTTGGACAAAAAATGAATGAAATGTACAAATAACAAAATGATTTTATTGCTAAAAACACTCAAAAAGTTGTCGCTTTTCGCTAGTCGATGACTATTGAAAATAGACCCCGAGTAGCGTGACCAATCAGAACGAGGGATTTGTAATAATCCACTAGTATGGTAAATAATTATTAATATCTAATAGTACAATTCCTATTTAAAGGCGAATGAAAATGACTCTACTGGGTTGACGCTGATACAATCAGTCAAAATAGTCTGAATAACACTTATATAGCTATATCAAAAAAGGTTGTCGGATAAAATGGCGAATGTCAAATGTCGAACGGCGATTGCACGATCGAAAGTAGCCATGGGTTTTGCTAGTTGAAAGGCAATAACAACTGATTTATACTATAAGATAGTCTGTGGTAAACATTGGCTGCATTTAGTCTCGATTTCTAAGTAAGGTGAATCCAATAARTGAATTTTTGTTTATCAAACCAGTGTAACCATAGTCCCTTTCGGTCGTGCATTCTCCCTTCGACAATCGCCGTTCGCCGTTCTCCCCGACAACGTTTTTTGAAATAGCTGTATGTGTTCGAGGTCTATAGTGAATACCCGCAAGGTATTGTGGTGCAAATAGATTAGTTTTCGTTTGGAAGGAGAAAACAAAGACATTAAATGTTCCCGCCAGGTACGAGCGTTCTGGGAATACAGGGTTGGCCTCAACTCGGGTAAAATGTAAATTTTTAGCGCTATTGTACTAAAAACACTTTCTCGTGCTTTCTTTTGTTTGGTTTTGTTTTGGTAAGTTTTTGCGTAAGAGAATCTATTGTTTGAATTCGAAAATGAAGTATTGCATAACGATACAACTAATATCTTGTGTGTTTTTTTTGTTTCTTCTAATATTTTCATTTTTTTTTGTATTGTATGTGTATTGTATGCATGTATTCATTACGGTTGCTAGCTTTCTTGGCTCGGCAGCAATAATTTGTACTCAACACTTCTGGTATGTAAATATAGTGAACTAACTCCCTCT